CGACAGGTTTATGGCAAGCAGCCCGCAAAAAACTCAGAAGCATCAAGGGCAAGCTTCTTAAATACTCTGAGTTTACCTCAACACAGAAGCCACTTACGTTTCTGCTAAATTATGTGTCTGCTTGAAATGGTTTATCAGCTTGCTGTGTCAAGGGGGACAGTAGTATGCAACAATCTTTTGAGACCATGGGCCAATTTTTGAAGCATTCACAAGGCCCCTTGCTAAGCAGCTCACCCCCTTTTAGCTTGTGACACACCAGCACTGCACCCAGCATTTGTTAACCGAGACCAGAACCCAGGTGTCTCTCCTGTACGTCAAGACTGAATTACTAAACTCCATTCATGAAAGGTTACTTTACTGTGAACTGTTTAATAAAAGAAATCTTCCCTTTTACCAAAATAAAAGCTCCCTAAAGTAAATGGAAGTTTCTAGTCATGGACAAATCTAACGAAATCTCTACTCTCCCCTTAACTAGGCATATTATTTTTATTACCTTTTTTTAAGCTATGAGGAAATGTATTTCTCCACTTTCTCTAAAGCTTCTATTATGCCTTTTTCATCAAAAACATACCCTACCCTTCTTTTCTTTGTAATTTGTTCATGCCAGCTCAACATCAGGTAAGACCTACATTTAGCACTACACACAAAATCGAGGTCCACTCCTCTTAAAGTTGTGGGCAGATTATGATCATCACTTCACTTAACGTTGTGGGCAGATTATGATCATCACTTCATTTCTAGGACCAAAATTCCATGTATCCAAAACACCTGATCACATAAAACTAAAACCAGATAATGACTGAAGATACTACCTGAAGCAAGGTCCCTGAGCTATTCTTGTTCAGTACCCTTTACTATTACTCCAAATAAAGAAGTCGTCCTTGGCACTTAGAGCACTCTAATCTGACTCTTACCTGAAAACACAGAAAATTAAGTTCAGAAATCAGTGCATTTGTATTCAGCTCTGAACAACAGTTTGAAGCCTATATGCCAGTTTTTGAATTTCGCAATGCGTTTTTACTTTGTAAAAATTGTTGCACCAATTACTCTACACAGAACATGATCCTTGTCAGTAATGCTATAAAACTGAAAGCAATATTCTCCTATGCAACTAGTCTGTCATAAAGAATTTCAGTAATTTAATTTGGTGTTTATACTCTCAGACCTACACGTACCAACCTCACTGCCCACAAAATCTGAAAAACTGAAATTTGGGTGTAATTCTACAGGAACTGGAAAACAGGCAGAATCCTCCCTTCAAACCATCTCCCCACAGCGCTTATCCCAGCCTTAAGGCTAGTTTTGTGGTCATAGTATCACACCAGAACAGCTGTTCCCAACAGTCCCCTTCGAGCCAGCGTGTTTGGGACCATCACTTACCCTACGTCTACTATACACTGCCTGGAAAAGGTCAAGAGTATGTTATTAATCATTCGCATTTATGAGTACTAAGCTCACCCCAAATACATGTCTTGTCTTAATTATGTACACAATAGTATCATAAAAAAATATTACCTCCCACTTCCCCATTTTGGGCCACATGCAGTTCAGTGCAACCACGGGCGATTCTATGAGAAGTGCTCCAAGTGCCACTCATTTTATTTCATCTATGAATGTGACCCCATAAATTTAGAACCTCTTCTTTAAACTACCACTTCTACTTCAGCTTAAAAGATGTCAAACCCTTCAAAAGGTGTCAAAACTTTTCCCAGCATACAGATAAAAAAAAAAAAGGTTGTGTACCTGAAAGCTTAGGAATACTAGTAAATTAGTCACTAAGAGTCATCTTTCAAATTGATAGGTACCTGCATTAATCAATGCCAAAAGAGAAAACAGTTAACACAGGAAGAGCATGGATGGAATTCTAATTAGCTCTCAGTTTACATGTTAAAACTGAACCAACTCCTGTTGCAGTAGTATTACAGTTCTGCTAAACTTCTCACTGATTCTGGACCTCCAGAGATTTCCAATTACCTATTCTGTTTATATTTTCATATTTTTCCTACCGCTGAATTTTAAAAGGACTTTACAGTCTCATTAGGCTTTTGACCCGTGTGTTGCACTTTGCATATTCTAATGTTACTTTGGTTTAAAACTTTTGCCCTAAGTCAATCAGCTGATTATCTTTATGAAACAAGGTTTAAGAAAGAAAACAAGAAAAAAGAAAAGAAGTGAAGAGAGATCTGAATATGCCCAGACTTTTAATTCTCAGGTTATTCAGACCCACCCCTACATACGAACTTTGTAATCTAGCAGTTGCTATGAGCACCCGGAGAAGACATGTTTTCTGAGGCGCTAAAACCTGAACAAGCATCTTCCACGTAAAAAGTGGCAGCACAAGGACCTCTATCTCATCAACAACAACCGAGTTCTTTTTCCGTGTATACAGTTTACATACTTACCCAGGAGGGCAATGGAAATTACAGACAGACGAAGATGAAGCTGTCTCAAAGCCTTTGTCATGTGATAGTGACCTATAAAGTATCAAATAAAGGCACATCATCAGCACACCATGATTTTACAATATTGCAACTCACCACAATGTCAACAAGGGGAGAGATCCCAAAACTTGAAACTTGCTTCCTCCTCAACCCCACCCCAGATAAGTTGTCATTAAAACAAGATGACAGTCGCAGGAAACCGTAAGGAGCAAACAAAAGATGCACCGTGTCTTTAAAGGGCATTAGGACTGGGCAAATGGAGCAAATCATCTGAGTGTGCATCAGCAGGGTGGGTTATTTTTCCTCTGTGTCTCTTGTACACAGGGATGCACGTTCATGTGCGCACACAGACATATATACATACACATAGGAATGCATCATGTAATTATTTACATGCACACAGAGAGAAACACAGACGCATTATCAAAATAAAGGGCAGAAAGTTGACCACCATCTGCAAGGAGGCATACATAACAATAACCCCCGGGAACTTACACAAGTGAGCGATCAATCCCCGCGCGTGGATAAGCCAAACAACGCAAAATTAACAACAAGAATAAGCCGCCAGACTGCAGGTACGAGATCCACCCGGGGAGACAGACAGACAGAGAGGGGGACGGAC